GTTTTACCAATATAAAAATATATAAATATGAGCGTGCGGTTTTTTCTTCCTTTCTTTCTTTTGAATTATTTTTAGGGTGAGTTATTACATTTCATCATATTTTTGTTATTTTCTACCTTTATATACATCGGCAATATATTTTTGTTAAAAGTTATTGTAATATTTATATTTATAATTTTTGTTAATTTTGTAATTTTTTATATATATATATATATTTTTTATTTATTATTTAATAGACAATCAGAAGATAAAGTTTCTATTAGCTTATGTGATAAATTATATTTGGCGTTTAGAGGTCTCCTCCATTGAAGAGATCCTCTGCTAGAATTATTTTAAGTAGAATCTAATATTGCAGGTCCTTTGGCCATTTCTTCTTGAGTCTTCTTGTTTGAACCATTTTGTTGATGATTTGTATTTCAGCGTTCGAATGATCATCGATTTTGTTGTGTTAAGAACAGCTCCGGGTCTTTATAATTTCATTTACAGTTTTAATTTCCAGGTCCCTGTGGATGGTCTCATTAGTTACGTACCAAGGCGCATCTACCATTGCCCTTAATATTTTGTTCTGGGTACGCTGTATAATTTTTATGTTTGATGCACTTGCACATCCCCATAATTATATTCCGTAGCTCCATATGGGTACTAGTACGGTTTTGTATATTAAAGTCTTGTTTGCGTATGACATTTCCGATTTTCTGCCAATTAGCCAGTACAGTTGTTTGAATTTTTTCATTGTTTGTTTGCTTTTTGGTTTGATATGGAGACCCCATGTGAGTCTACGGTCTAGACTCTCGATGAAGCTCTAAATAATTAATGCTGGTACTAGGAGGAATTTCGATGTTATTTATAAATACGGCCTCACAGTTTTGAGTTCTTGTTGTAAACGTGATATGTTTTGATTTGTCTTCATTTATACTTATTTTCCATTCTTTGAGCCATTCCTCAAGTGCGAATAGATGTTCTTGTAAGTTTAGAGATGCGATTACTGGATCTTGATGTGTTGCCATGATCATTGTATCATCCGCGAATGTACCCGTGATTGTGTTGTTATGTGTTGGTAAGTCGTGTGTTTATATTGTGTATAAAATTGGTCCTAAAACACTACCCTATGGTACTCCCGATTTTATTGGATGAAAATCTGATACTACATCTCTTACTCTTGTCCTGAAGTATCTACCAGTCAGGAACGACTTCAGTATTTTATATAATTGATTTGGTAAGCATTTTTTAATCTCTATCGAATGCTTGTTTTACATCGATGAATACCGCAGAGCAATACTCACCGTCTTCAAAAGCTTTGTGCATGATTGAAGTTATCCGATGAGCCTGTTGTATAGTGGAGTGATATTGTCTAAAACCAAATTGATGATCTGGTGTTGCGGTAAGATTTTCTTGGATTCTTACTAGTAATATTTTTTACAATAGTTTAGATATAACCGGTTGAAGACTAATTGGTCTGTATGAATTAGCCATATGACTAGGTTTACCTTGTTTTTGTAACATTATTACCTCAGAGTTCTTTAGGTCCTTTGGCCAATATCCCAAACGTCGTACTCCATTGAATATATAAGTCAGCATTATTAGACCTTTTCTTGGCAGTTCTTTCAAAATTTTAGCATCCAATTGACCAATTCCTGTACATTTCTTGTTATTTAAGAGTGAAATTTGCCTCTTAATTTCTTTTGGTGTAACCTGTTTAATGTTTTCAGTAGTGCCTTTTATCTCATTAACTTCATCAGATACTCGCGGTTGTTGACTATTTTCATTTGGAGTAAATACGTTTCTTAGATAGTCCGCAAACATATTCGCCTTTTCTTGATCACTCCTAGCCCATGGTCCTTCCGAATCTAATCTTATTGCCGAGTTAGTTGTTATAGGTCTTCTAGTTTTTTTAATTGGTGTCCAAATCGTGTTATCATACTTGTTAAGATTAGTAATATAGTTCATTATGCCAATTTCTCTCCACTGTTTTAATTCATGTTTAAGTTTTCTTGCCAAATTATTGTATATTGTTTTGTCGTGCTGATTATGACTTCTTTGCCAGACATTTCTTGCCTTCCGTTTATCCTTTATAAGCTGCCTAATTTCCATTGGTACGTTGATTTCCAGTTTATGTTGCGCTAGTTCTGGTGTGGCAATCCTAGCCGCTTGTTGGAGAAATCCTATAAACTGTTCCGTTATTTCGTCGAGATCGTTTTCATTTTTAATTCTTACTTTAAGGTTGATTTTTGAATCAATTACATTTCTGAAACACTCCCAATTCATTTTATGGTTGTACAGTATGCGTTGTACCTTCCGTTTTATTACATTAGTACTTAGGGTCTGAATTATGGGCGTATAATCCGAAGATAAGTCTTTATTACTTTCTATATCAATATAATTGCTTGAAATATTTTTTATTATAAAAAAAATCTTGCAGATCCGGTATCTTCTGTATGTCTGTTGGCCAGTAGTTGGGACTCCCAGTTGATATTATGGTATAGTTTTTCTCATATATTAACTCTGCTAGTTGTTTACCTTTTGGAGTCGTAAGTCTTGAGCTCCATATTGTATTTTTAGAGTTGAAGTCACCACCAACAATAAATTTATTTCCTAATGTTTCAAAATATTCTTTATAATCTTTTTTCTTTAGATTATATCGTGGAGGGCAATAGATAGCTGAAACAATCACATTCTGTTCGAAACTTTTTATTTTAACTGATGTTGCCTGTATATGGTTTTGTTAATATTTCGCTAACTCATAGTGTCCTATTGATGATTTTATTAGAATACCAGCCCCAGCGTGTGCTGTGTTGTCAGGATGACTAGTACCATAAAAGTTGTAGAATGGAATTTTTATGTATGAAGACTCTGTGAGATGAGTTTCGCTTATTAATAAGATATCAATCATTTGTATTTGAAGGAACATAATTAATTCATTTAGATGATTTAGAATGCCATTTGCATTCCATTCAGCAATCCACAGTGAGTTAGCCATTATTTCTTTACCAAAATAGTGAGCATCTGCATGATCATATTATTTTGATCCATGAGTTGTTCAAACATATCTCTAAAACTGTTCAAGAAATCCTGTAGTACCGTACTTGTTTCGGGCCCGCTGGTTGCGTTTCTTTGTTGATTTCGGATGACTTCCGAGTAGCTCATGTGATTTGTGTTTCTGATGTTAATATTTTGACGACTTGTGTTTGAATCGTGAATATCTCTCGTATCATTTGATTTTTTTGTTGTATATATTTTCTTGTATACAGTCGAGTACGCGGCCTTATATTCTTCGCAACCTCTGTAATTTGAGGGGTGATCTTTACCACAAAGTGCGCACGTAGCAGGCGTACTTTTTGGCTTTTTGCAAATTTTTGAGTTATGATTTTCTCCTAATTTGACACAAGCAAAGGGTCGATTGCAATATGTTTTGCAATGACCATAATTTTGGCACCTTGTGCATTGTATTAATCCTTTTCTCTTTTTGGGCGCTTCAATGACTACAATATGGTTCAATAATTTTGTGATGTTGTAAATTTCCTTATTACTATCAGAGGGTTCCAAATCAACAAAAAACATGTTGAGTGGCTTTTTGGTTATATACGTTCTCATATTTATTATATTCCTGACCTTGTGAATTTTCTTCTCTAGTTCCGTTTTTATTTCGTTGATATCGTATGTATGATGGATATTTTTGAGAACCACTCTGTATGCTCTTTCATTTTTAAGTTGATAAGTATGATAAACAGTACTTTTTGATTTGAAAAAGTTTATAAGCAGCTTATATTGCTCCGGCTGTTGAACATTTATTTTCACTGTATCGTCCGGCATTGATTTTGTATTAGGTTGTCAAATATCTCCCTTCCGCTTTTTTGCTCTTGGTTTATAATACAAAAAGGCGGAAGGGAGATATTTGACAACCTAATATTATATTGTTCACTGTTTATTACACTATTAATACCAGTTACCACATCAGAAAAATTATTTACGTTATATATAAATATAGGAGGTGGCCTTGTAGTTTTCTCGGTGTTATCAGTTTGTGTTTTTGTTGTTTGGGGCGGATGACCTTTGTTTGTTTTTAATGCATCGAACCTATTTCAAGTCGGCGTTATGTTTACATTTTCGACATATTTATTAGCCGATGTGCGTCTGCGTTTGCTGCCTGGTTCTATTGTTTGTCAAGAAGTTGACGGAACTATTTCATCCATAATCGTATCGTCTGATTGATTTTTTCCATTAATTGAACTATTAGTTTTCTGATTGATGATTACTTGTTTGCTGCCTGGTTATATTGTTTGCCAAGAAGTTACCGGAACTACTTCGTCCATAATCGTATCGTCTGATTGATTTTTTCCATTAATTGAATTATTAGTTTTCTGATTGATGATTACATGTTTAATATATTCATTGTCCATTGTCGACGTATCATGAAGAATGTTGATAGTTTCAACTAACGGAGGGATAGCATAAGTTATATTTTCTTGATTTTGCATATTTGTAATAAAATTATTCACTTATTTACAATTAAATGCGCCCCCTAAAAGGGGCATTTGTTGTACGAAACACTGTAGCACTTCACTGAATATTTGCTGATTAATATTCACACTTGTTGTTTACGTAACACTATTGCGCTTCGATCCGTTCGAGTCGGCTGCTCGAGCTCAACTATATATTTCTAACTGTAATCCTAAATTTTTTTTTAATATAGCATTGAAGACGAGTCAGATCATATCAAAATTCGAAACGTTTGCTACTACTATAATTTTACTAAATCTGTTTAATAATTAGATTGATGGCCATTAACAACGTGATATATACATATGGCTGTCGTGGCCTAGGTCGTTAACGCGCAAAGTCATGTGCATAAGGTCGCGCGTTCGAGCGCCCGCTCTGGCAATCTGACATCGGTCAGCGCGATGTCCATTTTCACTTGATCATATCAAAATCATAATCAAAAAATATTGAAATTCGGTATGAAATGGAAATAGTCTTACACTATTTCTACGTCAAATTCTTACCTTTTCGTACACCTGTCATCTTTATCATTTAAGCTTTTAAGAGACATAGCATCCTTTACCTCCTCATTTTTTAAAATTTCTCTTCTTTTTAATATCTTATTTTCTAACTCTTGCCTCTAAAATTGCAAAAATATTTTATTATTATAATGTTATGAATGAATAGATCGGTACCTGAATATAGAAACCTTTTCTTTTTCTTGAATACTGGCTATATACGTATCATTTTCTTGTCGTAACTTCTGCTGATACAACATTTGCTCATAGAAACTGCCAGGTGGCTTTGCATTATGTTTATGCAAAAATTCCTAAAAAACGGAAATTAAAATAAAAAACTAATCGATAGATCTCTTTCAAAGACAATTAGCTGAATTTAAAATTATAACTAGTCTAGGATAATATTTTATTATTTATTTCTTATAAAAAAGTAATCACTGACATTTAGTGCTTGTTTCCAATTATTAATTATTTACAAGTTGTTAATATGTATAAGTGACAAACTAAGAATTTCAAGAAAGTAATACCTTCGGTATTTTTTTTTTAATTTGAGCTTAATATATAACTAGTCTGTCTTTTTAGTTAAATCTCTTTTTTATTCTTGCTCTGTTTATATTTAGTTTTTTCTGTTTTCAAAATTGTAGAACCACTGATGATAACGTAAATTTTATTTCGAAACGTATAGAAAAATAATGATGTGTTAAAAATCTTTACCTTATATATTTTTTACTTGATGTTACGCCCTCCAAGAAATTAATCATACATTTCAACATAAAATTTAAACACCAACAAATACATATACATATACAATGTATATGTATGTATATCTTATATATAAAAATGGAGCTCTTGATCAAATGATCCGGTCAAACTCGAAAATGGTTAAATCGATTTGGCCAGTCTTATTCTTGAAAAATTCGTGCTAATCAGTAGGTTGTCGGCAAGGTGAGTAGAAGGCAGTTTCAGATAATTGTTCGTTTGAAATTTGTTATTTGCTGTGATATAATTGTAATGGTTTTTACAATATAGTTTCAAAATATAGTTCAAATTGGACCTTTGTGCCTGCTCTACATATATACTTTTTATTAAATTTACTTTAATTCATCGAATGTTACTTGAAACTTTTCAAAAAGCAGGTCAAAGAAGAAATACTTAATTCATTTTCTCGCAAAAATTTGAAAAATTTGTAGGTATAAGCTCAGTAGTATTATTTACAATTATACCCAAAATCCATAATTCAAAAAGAATCTGAAAAACTTGAAATGTAATCAATAAGTTACCGTTTATCTCCCGTTAGCAAAGTCGTAAGAATCAAGGTTATAGCTGGTTATACATTTAACTATACTCTATTTAATTGTTCTATAAAATGTAATGTTAATTTTGAGAGAGATTCAACAGTTTTATTTCTTTATGTAACCATTTTAAAAACTTACTGTGTGGGGCAAAAATGACCAACTGAACATTATTGACCATGGCTGAAGACAAAAAAAAGACTTGGAATGAATAATACCATATTTTTTATAGAAAGTGTATGAAACATCCAGTTTGATTGTATCAACAAAATATGGACAAACGAATATTGTTATTATGAATTATATAATTCATTATTATACAAGTAGACTTTGGGGTTTATTGTGTTTATAATACCTCATTTCTGTCTGTGCCATTCAAACAATACATCCTTACACTCCTAAAGTAAAGCATTCTTTTTTTATTCTTTAGAAATTGTTTGCAATTTGAAATTTTAATTTTTTGCAGCCCAATCGTCAAATTAAAAAAAAAATTAAATAGAATTTTTCATATATTAAATAGAATATCTTGTATATAAAATTCTTCTGTAACTATGTATGAATGGTCCTAGGATTTCCATGAATCTTCCTGAAGTTTGTTCGGGAAATTTTCTAGAATTTTTAGATTCATAGAAATATAGTTAGATTGTAGAAATAAATGGAAAAAATTACAAAACACCGCTTATCATTGTTTGACCTTGAGAATATTTGAAGCATTGTTTGACATTAAAAATAAGTGAAGACTGTCATTTGCCAAACATTTCTATTCACTTATAGTCTAAGGCAATATTAAAATATAATATATTTATGATTATGAATGAGAAAAATGTAATGTCTACATTATTATTGCCAAAAAGCAGCTGAGGTGTGCCAAAAATTATAATAATATAAGATTTACGTCAACATGCGTCTAACAGGTGATGCAGTCTGCGCATGCGTCTGTCAGTGATTACATACCAAACTTAGCCTATAATTCAATTTGACAGATTATTATTTTTAACTTTTGAATGCAGTCGTGTTTTGCCTTACTTTACTAAATCACAATACAAAAATAATTTACTTACTCAAAAAATTATCTAGAAGTTTCATTGTATCAAAAATTCATATGTTTGGCATTGGATACGAAATATTTACTCAAATCAATGGAGCAATTTGGGTCTGAATATTTTTAATGTGCTCCAATTTGCACGAAATTTTAGAATTAGGTTTATCTTACTCTCAAGTTTAAAAGTGAAAATAATTTAAACTCCTTTGCCACTTCCCGGGTGGATGACATTCCTTTTTAGTAGTGCAATTCTATCTCTATCAAAATAACATCGGATATCGATAAAAAAAACTAATTAGAAGAGAAAAATGTTTAATAATGTTTTTCAAAAAAGAAATAACTTTTCAAGTTACTGGATACAGAAAATTTGTGTTTTTTTTTTGGCGTTTCTCATCGTTTTTTGCGAATATTTCTAAAAATATACATTTTGAAAATCATGTAATGAACAAAATTATATCAATTAAAATCTTAATAAATCGGTGTGTTATAAAGGAACAATATTAGGCTAGATATGAAAATGGGGTTTTATAATGCTCAAAATAAGCTTTAAAATGAGTACTTCTGCGTGTAAAATGAGTGAGCTATCAATTATTTGCAGATAAAAGAGGCCGGCAATGTTTTTTTCATTTAAATCAAATAGTTTTTGAGTGAGTTTATGAACTTAAGATAAAGCTTAGCCTATTTCCGACACACGTTTTTTTCCTCTCCATTTACTGCAATAATTTTGTTGATCGTATGTTGAAAAGACCACATGTGAACAGAATTTGACAAATTAATTCACTTCAAATATGAACATAAACGATAATGTATATTGAATTATTGCTGAAAAAAATGTAATTTAGATATTAAAATTACTGTAAGCCTGTTAAAATATAAATACGAAATTATAAAAATAATAGGCAACATTATTGAAGCAATTATTTTGGGTAGAAAAGTCCAAGGTGTTATTGTACCTTTATCGCGAATGCTATATTTTCAACACGTGTATCTTATGCTATGACAATAAATCACATCTACAGGTACGACTAAAAAATTATATAACCTTTGGCATTAAAATAAATTGATCTTCCAAGTTTGTTCTATAAATTGCAGTGTTTAATTTTTGATATACAATTTTATTGAACATATTTTAATATTTGTTAAAGGAATAATTAAAGTATTAACTGTGGGAGTTAAGAATCATTTTATTTGAGGCAGTTCTACATTTAATATCACTCATATATTGGTGTAAAAAGTAATTCGAAAAACAATAATTATTATTTTTAACTGAATGGTAAATATTAGTATAGAATATTGAAAAAACGTAGATGTGGGTACAGGACAACGTCTGTCGGGTCATCTATTAAATATATATATATATATATATATATATATATATATATATATATATATTCACTTTTAATGCACTAAAAAATAATTATTTAACAATATTTGTTATTAATAATATAGTAGATACCGATGTGATTAGAATCGCGTTATTTGTTTGTCGATATCTTTTACAGTTGCGACATAAAACGACTTTGAAGAAAGGGACCAATTTCACACATTTTCAATGATATCTCGGCCAAATGATGAGCTACGGATTTGAAATTTGGTATATCGGATTTTCTCGGGAATACCTATAAAATGGCATCAAAATCATTTAAATACCAGGATGGGGTAAATTCTGTATGGAAACACGCCCATACCCTTTCTTGAACGTAAAAGAATATCATACTAATATGATTAATAAACGAGGAATTAAAGGAGCACATATTGCCCTCCTATATTGTATGTGTTCAATTGCAGTGCATTATGACAACTGATCAAGGTTACGCTGCACGTGCGCTAGAATGAGTGGATTCGGGGTGTAAGAAACAAAAGAGGAATGAGAAACAGAGAAGGGATATAACGAACGAAAGATTCTAACAATGTGAAAAATTACATTTCATGAAATTTATAATGACTTTGTAACTGTCATGTAAAACATAAGAGGAATTCCGTTTGTTGACAATAAGTATTAAGGGATATAAGTAACGACTCAACTAACTTTCTAAGGTCACAACTCTTTTCAATATATAGGATGGTAATAATTGACATGTTGAAAGTATGGTTCAAGTTAATCACATTCTGAAAGCATAGTTTTGAATTGATTTGGGTTTCTACAATTATATATATGTTGATTAACCTTCTTGTGTATATATTGTAAACTTTCCCCAATGTAACAACTATTGCAATCATTGCAGTCCAACCTGTGAACCAAATCAGTAACCCTATCAGCGGAAGTTTTTGATTTAAGAGCAGAAAAAAGCAACTAAACGTGTCGTCAAAACTGAAAACTAAAAGAAAATCTTCCGCAGCAAATAACTATTTTAAAAAATAAGAAAAATTGCTTAAGAAAGGTAAACAAATAACAGCTTTATGTTTATCTAAAGAAGAAGAATCTAAAGAATAGTTAAGATAGTAAAAACTGTTTAATTTGTTATGTAAAAACTCTAATCAATTTTTAATGACGTTATTACTAAATATGGCGAATAAGAATTATTATTAAAACAGAACGAATTGAAGTTTTTTTTTTCAAAAAATCTTATTACTTAACAAAATGGCCCTATCTATTAGGAAAATAACAACTGAAATTTTGATAGATCGAAGGTGATAGAAAAAATATTTTAAACATTGTCTTGACCAAGTTGGCTCTTGGAACCAGTCAGTAAAGATGCAATTATTGCAATCAATTAGCTCTTATTGAAAATGTTTTCCCAAACATTAGTGAGAAATATTAGAATTATGCTTGGTTAAGTCGACGAGCAATTCTTGTCGCAAAGAACGCACTAATGATGTGTTTGCGGGGTAAATTTAGAAAATCATTGTTTTTCACATGGGCACTTTTAAGTTGCGTGTTCACGAGTTAGGAAACCATCCGCTTTGTTTGTGTTAACGTCAGACCAAAAAATAAAAAATGTGGTTTACCAAAGAACACTTCAATGAAACGGATAAT